GTGACCCCAGGATTTGGGTCGGGATTCTGCTGAGGCTGAGGGGACTTGTAGTCATGGGATAAGGATTGGGCTTCTGGGGTTGATGGTACTGTGGACTGGGGACCCTGAGCAATGGGGGGATGTTGGGGAGGCATAAGTAATCCCAGGATTTGGGATCAGGGAACCTGGACATGTCCAGGGGTCGCCTGGGTAGGAGTACCTGCCTTCCCCCTCACCCCACTCCCCTGCTGACCCCACTCTCCTCCCAAGTCCCTCACTGATGAACCCTCCCCGTGTCCCCTCTGTGTCCTCCAGTGTCCACACTGATCCCTGTGGCCTCTGCCCAACATGGCCCCCCTGGCTCAGACCCTGGCACTGCTGGCAATGGCCATGGCCACCACGGCTGTCGATGTGTACCCTCTGGACATGGCCCCAGACTCCTTTGATGACCAGTACCAGGGCTGTGGCCCTGCCATGAAGGCGGCATTGCCAGCCCTCAACAACTCCGAGTTTGAGCAGAATGAGAAGTTTGCCGAGGTTTGGGTAAAGGCTGCAGCCGAGTGGCAGAGTCGGGGCACCCCTGTGTCCCCTCTATCCCCAGACCAGGCCATCGCTATCATGGCCTTCACAATGGATGGCCTGTCCAGCATGTTCAATGACGCTGTGCGTGTGGCCGGGCATTCCCACCAGGAATACCGGGACAACTTCCACTTCAAAACACTGCATTTCCTGCTGACCGATGCCCTGGCCACGCTGAGGGATGCTCAGAAAGGGCAGTGTCGGGACGCATTCCTGAAGGTGTGTGACACCCGGTTTGAGGCACAGCGTGGTGACACCATCCGGTCCGGTCTATTCGTGCCAATGTTCCTGAGCAAACCAACTGGCGAGTGCCCTGGTGAGACAATGCTAGAGGTGCACACATGCCATGGCGTGGAAATCCAGTTTTTCACCGAACACCCCGAAGAGAAGGTGGTGCTGATCCCACCGTTTGAGACCTTCAAGGTCACCCAATACATCCAGCAAGGGGACAAGACACAGATCCAGCTCCAGTCCACCGGGACCTACAGCAAATACAACTGCGAATGGTTGCAAGGTGACATTGCAGGGGACAGCCTGGGGGAATGGGTACAGCCATGTAAAGGCACAGGGGACAATAATACTCACTGGAGATGGGGGACAAGGACACCCACAGCATGTGGGGGGACAAGGATACCCTGGGGAACACCAAGTCTGGGGACACCCATTGTGGGCACAGGGACAGGAACTCACATGACAGGGAACAGGGATAGGGACTCCCACTTCTGCGTGGGAACAGGGACAGGGAAACCTGTGCCAGGGGACAAGGAACAGGGACAGAGACAGGGACCCTCCCAGGGTACCAACCCTGTTCCTCTCTGATAAAGGCTGTGCTGTGGGGATGCGTCCTGTGTACAGAACATGGGTGGGCCAGGACCTCTCCATGCCACTCCCTGAAATCCTGTAACCCCCCATGGCAATCCCTGAATACCCTTGAAACACTGTCACCTCTAAGACCACCATGACTCACCAGACCTCCCTGGCCCCTGTAGCCCCTGTGTCCCTCTCAACACCCTGTCACCCTGTCACACTCATCTCACCTGTCACCCTTAATCCCCCATTATGACTATCCCTGACTCCCTTACTACCCCCATGGCCTCAATGATTCTCCTCTTTTTCCCCCAGGTTAGAGTGTCCACAGGGCTCCTTTCCACCTGGGAGGACTCCTCCTGACCACCACAGCCTTGGCAGTGGCCACCAGGATCCTCTGAGCCATGAGGCCATCAAGGTCACCAAGGTCACTGTGGTCACTGTGGTCACTGTGGTCACTGTGGCCACCATGATCACCAACGCTCCCTCAGCCACAAGGCTACCATGGCCACCCTGGCCAGTGTGGCCACCAAGGCCATTGTGCAAAGCTCTTCTAATAAAAAATGCTTTCAAAAAAATCCAATTAAATAATTCTGACAAAGCCAGCAAAGAGAGACAATTCCTAAACAAGGCTCCCCACACCAACAATCTTGGGAACATCTCTTTCTCTCAACCTCAAGTAGGATCCCTAAGGATCATCCCCTTCCCAAGGGAGGATCCTCACACACATTTCTTTCCAAGCAGAAGAGAGGAGAGGAATCTCTGTCTGACAGAGGACTGGATGTTCCCATGGTCAGCTGATGGATGGCCAGGCTGAGCTCTGGTGCTTCAGTCTCAGTTGTCAATTTGGGGTTGGTGATTTGGGCTGGTTTTAGCCCAATTCTGCAATAAAATCAGCACAAGACCTCTCTCAATGTTGCCCTGATGGCCATAAATGGGGCATAGTCCCTAGGGCACATTCCAGGCAGAGCAGTCTGCCACATCCTGCACTTCAGGGGACCTTAAAGGCTGGAAATTGGGAGATTCAAGAGGGCAAGGGAAGGTCCTCTCCCTGGGGAGCAACAGTTCCTGTGTCACTTCCAGACAGAGGAGACCTGCTGGATCAGCTCAGGAAAATGACCTGGGGGTGCTAGGGGGTGTCCAGTGAAGCTGGCCTGGGGTCAGGAGGGATCCAGGGGGCATCAAGAAGAGCAGGGCAAGGAGGTCAGGGAGAGATCGTGCCCATCTACCCTGACCTGGGAGGCACATCAGGAGTGATGTATGCCGATCTGCCCAGTGCCATGTCCTGTTCTGGGCTGCTCTGGACCCAATCCTGTGTTCAGGGATGATGCTGCCTGAGCTGGGAGGTTGGGCCAGGTGCCCACTCTGTGTCATTCTAGCCTGACCCATTCTGGGCTTTGGGGATTTTGGCAGTTGTGGTTCGGGAATTGTCACCGGAGGGCAGCAGCGAGCGGCAGGGAATTCAGCAGCACTGCAGATGCAGTTCAGAAATTGTCCACCCGGGGGCAACAGCGAGTGCAGGAATTCAGCAGCACTCTGCATGTGCCACCCCCAGCTGCAGTTCCGGGTGCCAACAGCAGGCGGCAGCACGAGCTGCTGGCGTTGCCGAGCACCCGCCCTGCCCCATCCGTGCCCCGGGGACTCTGTAATGCTTTGGGATGGAGCCACCTTAAAGCCTGTCGGGTTCCAGCCCTGCCATGAGCAGGGACATCTTCCCCTGGGCCGGGCTGTTCATGGTCCTGCACAACCTGGCCTTGGACCATTCCAGGCATAGGGTAGCCACACAGCTTTGGTATGGATAGGTAACATGATGTTTGACTCTCACAATTAAGCGATGAATATTGTGTTTGTGTGTAAAGAGAAGTTTTGTTGATATGTGGTTATGTTATTGTAATTTGTTGATTGGACACCCTCTGTTCTACCCATAGCCCCCTTTCCCCAACCCATATTGTTTGTACCTTGACAGCATTGTTTTTAAGTGATGTCAGGGACATGTGAAGGGAGGGAGAGTGTGTACTTGTGCCGCTTGCATGGGGCAGCTGGGAATGGGAGAAGTTGTTGCTGGGGATGTGTGGCATGGCAACACCTCACCTTCAATCAGACTGCAGGAAGGTCTCCACCAATGGACAGCAAGGAAGAGTCAACTGGCAGATTTTGGGTGGGGCAAGGGATTTATAAGGAAAGTGTCTGAATATGTATGACTGCTTATGAACATGCATTTGGCTGACGCAACCCCCAGCAGTATAAAAGGCAGAGCCGCCATTTTGTCACAGTTGCCTGCACTCCCAGTGCTGTCCCTTTTTCCTTTTTCAGTCCTTTTGTAGTGTTGTTGAGGTTTAATAAACCTTTAAAAATTTAAAGTGAGCGGTCATTTCTCACAGCCACTGTGGATTCTATTATCACCAAGGCCACCATGACCTCCAGAAAAATGAGGTCACCTAGGTGCCACGGTCACCCCTGACATTATCCCTGGAGGAAAAGAGAAAAACAGGAAAAGAGAACAGAAGACAAATCAAATCTCGTGGCGTTTTGAATATATTAAGATGAATGCTACGTGTATATGTTCAAATAACTTTGCTTTTAGTTCTGCTATTAAGAAAATCTTAGACATGGTAGTAGTGGTAGCTGATATAGGTAGGAGTGAACTGTCTGTTTGGTCGGGATAACATCCAGTGAACGTCATGAGGACTCTGCTGTTGATATGGCAACTATCAGCATCTGCTGTCTGAAGAAAGTACGGACCAAGGTGCAGACTGGAAGTAAGAAAGAGAATGAGCCAAAACTGCAGCTATGAAGCAGGCATGCTCTAAAAAGGCAGACCCAAGGAAGGGCCATGTTAAATAGTTCCTGGAATCTGGAAACTAGTTTATGGAACTATATGGATATGCACAACGGTCTAGGGATATGGCATCCCGGTCCCATGTCCCTCTAAAAATGTCCCCTGGAGTACTTCCAGACCCCGATACTGAAATTGACTGGAGTGAACTCCCTGATGGAACTGGAGACAGTAGAAAGCCGGAATTCTTGATCAGCTTGGACTCACAGTTGATCTCTCCTGGTCCTGCACATTAGGGGGCACTTTGTCAACAGAATCTGTCCATCCTAATTATACATATTCATTAAAATGGGCTGCTTAGCTAGTACAGAGCCAGCCCTCAAAATGGCTGAGGGCCAGCAATGCTGTGGTCATGATATGGCCACAGCTCCAGCACTGGTAATTGAAGGAGTCCTGATCCATGTCTAGGGGCACCACTTCGATGGCTGCAGTTGTCACAGTCATTGCCAGGGGGCGAGCCAAGAGAGCCATGGCAGGGAGGATACTGGGAGCAGTGTGGGGCACTGGGGGACAAAGTGGGACATACACTGAGGGGACACTGAGGACACACAGGGGTGTGAGAGTCTGTCCGAAATATCCTTCATTTTTGCCGTACAATTCTCATGCAGAAAAGAGCACCGAAAAATTAAAACTGTTGAGCCAGTGGGGAGGGCAAAATCATAGGATTGTCAGCTTGTTTCCACAGGTGTTATTTGCATAACACGCGACGCTGAACACGAAGGGGCCATTCTGCCCCTTCTGAACAACGGACTCTCTCCCTACCTCCTGGCCTGCCTGGCTTGAAATCTGGGTGGTCTCCCACAGAAGACCCCTCTCATCCGCCCTCAGCCATCATGACAGACAAGCAAAATGCAAACCTCTTCATCAAAGAACCAAGACAATAAATCCCCGTGCAAGAAAATCCCCCTCGCACCTTCTTCTAGAGACTGGGATTGAACCCCCCCTCAACTCAGGGGAGGTGTGCATGAAGGAGGGAAAAGCTGCCCAGAATAAACACACCTGTCATGGTTTAGGCCTGGCACAGAGCCAGTGCCCCCATGAAAATGCCCTCACCCTGGTGTCTGCTGTGAGATGTGACCAGGAATAAGCAAAACAGGCTCCAGCTTAAACATAAAGAAAAATTTATTACCTAAACCACAGGAAAAATAGGAAAAACTATAAGGAAAAAAAGCATTGAAAGCCTTACAAAAAACACTTTCCTCCTCCCCACCACCAAAATTTCCCAATCTGATACATTCTCCCAAATCACCAACTGCCCAGCCTGGCACCACCCTTTAGGATGCTCAAACTTCAGTTCATGAAGAGGAGAGGAGTCGTTCTTGGTCCATAGTCTTTCCCTGGAAACACGCTGAAATCTCGTGTGCTTCCATGTCACTTCGGCACCGCCCGGAAAGTCCTTTTGCCGCTTGTGACGTCTTCCTTCCATGCCCAGTGCTCTCACCACTGTGCATGGACCAGAGCTGCTTCTAGGGCTGTCTTTTAAGGATGCCTTGTCTCACTCCAAAAAGGCACAGTCTCTGCTTTGGGACATCTGTCCCTCCCATATTTTTCCAACCCCCTGGGGCCGAGGGATCCCCACGATGAACCCTCCTGGTTCTGAGGCACTGCTTCCCCCCAAGCGCAGTCTCTGTGTCACAGGAATAAAACTGAGTCTATGGCTACACAAGAAAATTCCAGCCAAAAGGCCACTCCAATCATCTCTCCCCACTCAGTCGTCTCCACGTCCTTCAGGCCAGGTCCTTGTTTCATCTTATCTCTTATCTCCCTTCTTATTCAGTTCTGAGGAGGATCAGCATTTTTGCAAGGCCCCAATCATGTAAGAAAGGGGTTAAAACTTTCAGTCTCTGTCTGTCCCGGAACGCCAGTACTCCCACACGAGCTGCCGCTCTGGCCGGGCTGCACTCTCCCCCCGCCCTTCTCCTCCTAGGCCGGCTGCTATCACATTCAGACACCCGCTCTCCTCTCTCTCCCTCCTGGGGGGGGAATGGCTGCCCCATGGCTGTCTCTTGGGGTTGCTCCTCCACCCTTCCATCCTCGAGGGCCTTCTCACCCCCCATCTCTGTCCAGGCCCCGGGCCTACCACATGGCTGCCTCTCCCTCGCCCAGCAGCAGCGGCTGGACAGGGAAGGGAGATCTGACCTCTTCGCCTTGACATCCCAAGAGAGCCTCCCAGGGCCGAAGCTCTGCTTTTTAACCCCTGTGTATTCTCGGAGGTGTGTCCAAACCACACTGGTCACACCAGGTGCCAATATCAAACTCCGAGCATCCATTGGTTTGACCACAGCATCCCAGAATTCCCACTTCTTCTTGGTCAAACCACCACAGTGCCCCAGTACTCTCCTGGACCTCGATCCTGTTCCTACAGCTCTTTAGACCTCTTGTGAGCCAGGGCCCTTGCAGGACTTCACCCAAATTCAGAAAGTCACTCATGCATTCCCCTTCACCCCTTCCCCCCAAGGGTGTCCCCCAGGTCCCTCTCCCAGATCCACATCCCACTCCAAGTCCCGTTACCCATCTCACGTCACCC